TTTTTCATACACTTGTATCAAGTTTGTATTTATACAACATAACTTGTAAGTTCCTTATAAATATTAGTTATATGTTCCTTATATGTCAAAAATGCATAGTAATAAACTTTTAATTTTCTTAAATATAAAAAAAAAAAATTTTTTTTTCTTCAAAATATTCAAAATATTTAAACAATTTTTGTGCAAAATTTTTCTGCACATGCATTTGAATATAAATTTCTGAGATTTTTAAATCTGTTATTTTACCTTAATTTGAATTAAAAAATATTTTAAAACCTGCTGATTACCTACAGCATAATTAAATTTCAATATAATGCATGGCAACTGTTGGTAGTTTTGAAGTTTATATATTTTCTGGGCAAACTTCAGTTTTTGACGGTTTAAACCAGTATTATACCCTTGTCATGTCAAAAACCACTTTTTGACGTCAAAAGCCCAACCCTGTTTTAATTACTAGAATATATATTTTTTTAAAAATTTAATTCTATGAAAAAAATTTTTAACGCTAAAATTTATGTTTAAATGGGCTTTTGTATTATGATAAAAAAAAAATCATGAATTTCCCTTAAGTTTATTTCAATTTATCTAATTTTTTTTTTCTAATAAATTGTGTCTGATTTTCTGATCCTGTTTTTTCCTAAATAATCAGTTTCGCAGTTTCTAATTTTAAAAATTTAAAAGTATTTAATTTTATGCAACGATATTACAAGGTTAACTGAAAAAAAGAATTTAGTGCCTAGAACAATGATGTTTGTATAAAAATTGCTGTCAATATGTCTGAATAAATACTTTGTCATGCGGCCCTTCATTGGTCTATCTGCTATGCATGTGGCCCTTCACTCAAAAAGGTTGTACACCCTTATATTAGTGTATTGCTTAAACTGAAGCAAGGTGTTAACCAGAATCAGAAGAGGGCAAAAAAAATATATTAATATAAATTTTGGAAGAAAAATCTCACAAACAAATAACCATGTGCAAAAGCAACCAGGAAAAATTTATAACCAAGAGAAAAAACAAAAAATATAAATAAGAACAGTGATACGCTATTCGCCACATTGCNATATTAGTGTATTGCTTAAACTGAAGCAAGGTGTTAACCAGAATCAGAAGAGGGCAAAAAAAATATATTAATATAAATTTTGGAAGAAAAATCTCACAAACAAATAACCATGTGCAAAAGCAACCAGGAAAAATTTATAACCAAGAGAAAAAACAAAAAATATAAATAAGAACAGTGATACCATGTAAGTCAAAAAGAGGAATTCAAAATTGATAATATAAGCACTTACATATAGCGAAGTAAAAAATATCTATGTAAATCTAAGGAAGATTTTTTAAGCCATTATTTATAATTACTCAAACTATAAACACAACATGCTGCAGTACTGGCAATAGCACCTTCTGCTAAGGAATAAGAAAAGTATGTTTGCCATCAAGGGATATCTTATCTACGAGTTAACATTAGGCTACATTAGGGTTAATTAAAACCCTTCTAGTTGTTTCCTTTCTGTGATGTTTTTTTTCCTTCTTTTTCTATTTAGTTTTTTGCAGGCTGCTGCCCAGTAGTTGGCAAGACTTGGCGATTATTCTGCCACAGATCACAATATTGAAATTTTCTCTTTAGATTTATGCAAATCGGAAATTTTTTTTATCTCATTATAAATCTTCAGTTTGCATAAGAGAATAGACTTTCTTGAGATGAACAGAATTTCTCAAATTAGGGGAAAAATCACTTGCTCCACTTAGAACTCATATTTAAATAAATTTAATAATGTTTTTCACAGCCTGTATGATATTAAAATCATAAGTTTTTAACATTCAACACAAAACGTTTGCAATCACTTTTAATTTTAAATTTTGTTCCAAAGTACAATTATGATCATTTGTCATTAGAAAACTACTGCAAACACTTTTTCCGATTAGAGCACAAACCTTCTTCAAACTACGCTAGATAATAAAAGAAACAGATTGTCTAATTTGCAATAAACAGGTGCATAACTTATAAGAACTAACAGATTGAACAACTACTTCTTCCAAGGGATTAAACCTATTAAAAAACAATATCAAGAAAAGATTCCTTGTGCTTATTTTACCATTTAAATGCTTCTCAATCTTTTGTTAGTTCTCTTTTTTAGGCTTTATTGCTTGTAGTATTTAAGATTAATTTAGATAAATAATTTATAATGTTAGCTACATTTTTATGTCATTTTTCGACATTGTGTATATGCATTGTAATCAGTGGTTCAAGGCTAGGAATACGAAGTAACATATCACGCATGCATGGAGATTTTTCTCCTCCCTATCGGGAATTTTAAACTTCTATATTTCAAATGTTCTAAATTATTAATAAATTGTGCTTGTGGAAAGATTTCTGTATAGTGATTAATGCCAGAATAATCGCCAAGTCTTTGCAGGTTACGGGCAGTGGACTGCAAGAAAAAAAAAAATCACAGATAGGGGCTAACTTGTAGGGTATAACTGAAAGCCACGCCCAAGCAAACCTCTAAAATTTTTTTAAAAAAAATTTTCACGTTTAAAATCAATTTAGAGTCTTGGCAATTGTATTTGGGGTGACATATCATGATATGGAAATATACCCGTAATTGTTAAAAATAAAAGTGCTTATTCCTTAAACCCCATGTGGTTTTAGGAATAAGCACTTAAATTACAGTGGATTAACATATAGATCATAATATTTGAATGATTTGGATCTGCTTAATCTGTACATACTGGATCTACTTTGTCTTAGGGGCCGTTCAAAAAGTATGTACACAAAAATTTAGAAATTTTAACCCCTTCCCCCACTTCGAACATTACCATACATAAGGTCTTACCTCCACCCCTAGAGTATGTACATTTTATTAGTCTACCCCCCTTTTTCATAAAAATTAAAATAATTATGTTTCAAATAAAATTAAATATTTATTTAAAATAATTTAGTCATTTAAATTATTTAAACATTAACACCCACCTTTATCAGTACCAGAAAAAGTTTCGGGGAAAGTTGCAAATTTTTTATTTTGCGAGACAACTTTTTTTGAGAACTGATTTACTCATTCTAACAAGTGGTCGCTGTGTGAAAAAAGATAAAGAAACAGATGTATAATACATGCGTAGGAAAAAGTCAAATTTAAATTTGGTGTATGCTTATAATATACGTACTTTGTATAATCCCCCCCCCCCTCTGCACATAGTACAAAACCGTACAAAATAGCAAATCCCCCCCCCTTCGGGATGTACGTTCTTTTTGAACGGCCCCTTACTGATCCATTTTAGCTCAACCATAAGATTTAAAAACATCAAAATGTTTTATTCAGGGCCTTAAAAACCTAGTGAAAATCCTGCTAACTTACAATACAAACTGCATTGATTTCAACTAATTAATCCTATCCGAAAACTATCGTTAAGATTTTTTATATCATACTTTATTTTTTTAATAAACTCATTGCATTACTTTACTTAAGGAAAACTATAATAATAAGAATCTCACCGGGAGAAATGTAACTAGATCTGGTGATTGAATAAAATCGTTGAATGAAATATATTATATTAAATGCATAATATTAAATATAATAATAAAATGTATTTAATATTAAAAACATTATTAAGTAAACAGGAAATCAAGAAATATTTAACCGCTACATCTCGGATGATGTTAATTTGGCGGGTATTTTTGGAGCTACCAACTGCAATACGCTTATAGCTTGCTTGTAAAGTTTTTAGGGTATTAGGAGGAGAGTTAGATACAAAAATATGATAAATGATGCTGCCATCTAGTGAGAATCATGAAAAAAACTGCGCTAAAATACGGAATTTTGTAACTGGTGCTGCTTTGTAGTGACGATTATATGAAATAAACTTGAAGAATATTCGGTATAGAAAACTAGCTTTTAATGGACAAACAATTTAAATTTTCCTTACTTAGAGAGACTATATAAAAGTAGATAAAAAATGATTTATCGAATTTAGTTTTGTTTTTCTAGTTTAAAAATGTAAAATTATCCTTTATGAGGACAGAATAGTAAAATTTTAATTACAGTCACTTTTAAAGAGATCAATGTACTGATTTTGTACTTTTTTCTGCATCGTATTTAAAATATTTTAAATGACTACGTATTTAAAATAACAAATTCGAAAATATTAAAGAATTTACCTATTCTGTATCAATGTTAAACAACAAAAACACATAGGATTTACGCAAGATAAAGTAAATAAGTAATATAAATATTTATAAATAGAAATTGCTCATAAAAGTAAAATGATTTTAAAGATAAGGAACTGAACACAATTTCAATTTTAATAATTCCAATTTTAGCTTTAAAAAAAGTTACACTTAGCTAAATAGGTTAAAACTCCTTAGCCATTACAAATTAATATTTTTCTTCAATTTGATTAGGAGAGAATTGAAAAATTTTATGAATTAAAAAATTCCAGCAAATCTTTACTTCTAGAACATTAAAGAAGAATCATCAAGTTAAAGATCGCATGATGGAAAATGTTGCACAGAGTTGCCACAAATTATTTATGACAAACCTTCAAATTATTTATAATCAAGATTTTTTGTCAAAAATACAGCTTTTCTGTCAAAAATACAAATTAAAGTTTTCTTTTAACAAAAAATGTGCATTTAAATCATTATTTGTACCGTAGAGTTAATTTATTTCATGGAGATGTAATAATAATGTTATTTTCTATGACATGGTTTTTATCTAACTATTCTATATTCGACCATAAAAATTTAAAAATACTCGATTTTATGAAATAGATGTTCCTTTTAAAATAAAGATTTAGTTTTTAAATAACAAAGATTTAGTTTTAAAGATTTAAGATTTAATAAGTTTTTAAAGATTTAGTTTTTTAATAACATGTTCTCGTTCTCTTACATTTCTACAGCATATTTTCATTTCGAAGAAAATTTTAGTGTTTAAGTTTGACTGTCCCTCCAATTTGTATAAAGCTGCAATGCAGCGCAGTCCACATTTCGCAGGAGCTATTCGACCATTTCGCTTAGATTATGCCATGTAAAATTACATTCTTTAAAAGAATGTAAAAAATTGTATATCATACAATTTTATATTCGACGTTTTGTGACTGATTTTTAACGTTTTGTGACTGATTTTGAAACTTAAAATATTGTCTGCATTAATTAAATAGCATATTTGAAGTCACCCTCTTGAACAATTAAGATTGAGTCCTAGAACGTGAAGATTCAATCATTAGGATCAAAAGTTATTCAGGGTAGTCCGTTTTATTTTTATATATTTATTTATTTATTGCACTATACAACTAATCCCTGTGTTAACAGGCTCTAGTCTTCCTTCTTATATCCATAAATTTGTCGCACTATTATAATAAAATTTTTCTTTTGCTAATATTTTCTTCTATTTATTATAATGAATATAATTCAAATTTTTAATCATCTTCTTGATTGCTAATTCTATACAAGAAAAAAAAATAGAGAATACTACTTTTTTCTTTAAAGAAATATGTAGTTGTAAACGCACACAAGATAATTGTGAGTGCTGCAATTTTTTCTATTAAAACAGTTCCTTGTTAAAAATTAGTAAACACATTTTAAACTTCTCATTTGACGCGCATTTGGCATAACTAGTAAAACACAACTATAAATAATCTATAATCAAAGATCTAGTCTATCCCCATGAAAGAATTTAAAAGTATTCAACTAGTCTTCAATAAACTTTTACTAACCAGAATTTTTGCCATTTTCAATGTTATTGTCGATTATAAATGTTTTTAGATCCATAAAAATATTATTACTTTTCACTATTTTGAAAACAATTCTCCTTATAACTAAGTGAGATTTATAAAATAACCAAGTAATAAATGAGACTCATATAAAAACTATAAAGTTACAATCGTAACAGCGAAGTTATCATTAGAATTTTCATTTTATTGCATTGCTAATAAAAAACGATAACGTTCCAAATTCTTGCTACCAAGAGTGACAAGCAAAATCCAATCAAATTGTCGCAAGCTAATTGCTCAGTGGTTACCATGTCCTTGTTGCCATACCGTAGTAGAAACTGCGGTTAAAAACCAATGGAATATCTGCAAGTGACGTAGTGTGTCAATTTTCTTAATTGACACATTCTAAATTCTTGCACAAAGATTCTTTTATATAGATTTCAATTCTCTCATTATATATTTCTATAAGCATGTTATGCCCTGCAAGATGCGGGGCAAAAAATGACTAACGGTGATATTTTACACAAATATGACCAAATAAGAGATAACACTCAAAACATGGCGAATTTTACACTTTATATTGCAATTATAATTTCATTAAATTTGTTTTAGGTTAATAACCAATTAGAATTTATGAATTACGGAAAACTCTTATGAATAGTAAAATTACGCATAAATTTAAACATAAATCACATTAATAAAACTTCCTGGAATGTTTAGTTACTTCCCACATAGCCTCGTAAGCATAACATAAGCGGAGGATACACCGGAAGTTTTCAAAATTTCTACCAGATTTAGGAAGCTTGTTATTGTTTGTATTCAGTTAACTATCCATACTGAATGGAAATAGCAGTCGAAATTTTTCCAGCGCTCAAAAACAGGCACCAATTTTCAAAACTGAAAAGACGTGAATGAGAAGAAACAAATGTGATCTGCTTGAGGTTCTTGTCTTGGATAGGGAAGTTGGAGATATTAAGCATAGCCCTTTCGAGTAGTACATCTGAGATGTATACACGATGTTGTCAGAACGCATTTCGTCGTTAGTTAGCTACTGAATCTCTCTTACGAAGAGAATTGTTTTACTAAAGGTAGGAGGTATCTGAAGTTTTTGGAGGACGGTCGCACTTAAAGAATAACAGGAAGCTTACGGAAAGTAAAATCCTATAGCCAGAGCATCGTGGCTATAACGGGGACGTGGACATCTCACCATCTGATACAAGAAAGGGAGAAGTGTCCACTTGAGTAAGTCATTTTCTATTCTTAGTGCCGTATGGACTTGCTTGACAGTGAATGTGAATAAAATGAAATAAAAACATGATAGATAAAATATGAAGCAGCAACAGTTTAGTTTCATTTAGGGTATTTAGATACTACTAGAATTTTTTATTATAAAATTTTATTTAATTTATTTTTATTAAATTATTTTTAAAATTTACCAAACTAAAAAAAAAAACACAACAATTGTTAATGTAAAGTTAAAATACATCTTAAGTACTAAATATTATTGGCGATCGAAATGGTCTGCAGGTGGCGTAAAGCAGAACTCTCTACCTATGGCAACACTTAGCATGGTTTCACCATTAGCGTATGGATAGTCACAAGAGAAGTAAGTAAGTCAGTTTCTCTCTTGATCTTTAAATAGATTAAAAACTTTTAAGTTCGGAAGCTATTTGGAACTGAAAACTATATTGTGCTAAAGGAAAGTGTCATTTAAACTAATTATTTAAAAAAAATACTTTGGAAAATCAACTACGAAAAATATTAAGAAAGAGGAAGATATCGTAGTGCATTCCTATACAGCTGAGAAGAGGCGGAGAGAGAAGGGGGAAGACTCAAGACATGGAACTGGTGTTTTCCACAGATGGCGTATTCGAGAGTTACGATCGCGAATAGGTATAGAATACGATCACGAATAGGTATAGGTCTAAAATAATAACTCCCCCAGACATTCGTCTGGACCTGCGGCTGTAACTTTGATAACGAAGTATGACTATTTCAAGTAGGGATGCGGGATCAAAATTTTAGAGTGGTTTTGGTGAGAGAAAGGGAAACTCTTTCTTCGGTCTACCCAGAGTGGAGCTCCCTTCCCTAAAATGCGCTGTTCTTGTTCCCATAGCACCAGACGGTCTCAGACTTTGTGGCGGGAGGAGTTCTTAGCTAAAACAAACGATATGGGTAGTTGACTGTAAACAATAACAAGCTTTCGAAATCCTGAAGAAATTCAGAAAAACTCCCATGTATCCCTCCGCTTATGTTACGCTTACGAGTAGATGTGTGAATAGGTTTAAACTTAATATTTCAGGAAGTTTTATTGTTGTAATTTGTTCTTAAACTTACGCATAATTTTACCATTTTTATGAGTTTTTCCGTAATTTACAAAATCTAACTGGTTGTGAACCTAAAACAAATTTAAGAAAATTAATATCAAAACATAAATAAAGTGTAAGGTTTGCCATGTTTTGAGTATTATCCCTTATTTTGCTATGCTTGTGTAAAATATCATATTTGGTGAAATATATATTTTATCATGGAAAACGCACAAACCAGGTTCTCCTTCTCTCTCGATGGCAATTAGAGGGGAAAGGTCCTTTTGCACTGCATGCGATTGCCCTAGACGTGCGTGTGATTGTTTAGAAACTACACGTGAGACCAAGGCAGTGAGTCGCATTGGGCCCCTTTAAGATTAGAGAAGTCAGAACCGAACAATTTAGAAGAAGAATATTTTTGCTTTATGTAGAGTTTGCCCACTTTCCGTTGAGTTAGCTCACACTGAACCATTCCACCAGGGCCGTCTTTAAACTATTTGAGGCCCTGGGCACATTAGGATCATGGGGCCCCTANGAGGGGCCTGCATTCCACCACCGCTTTGATGAAACACAGTTTATAGTTCAAAAATTAATATAGTGTAAAAATTCAAGAAGATCGACTAAATATCTTCAAATATAACTTTATTTATTGTAACAATCATATTAAGTCATGAGATATTATATTTATTTAAAACTTGCACGACTGTATCGGCAGTTTCCTCTCTGAACTGTGCATGCAGACTGTGGTAACCTCCTTCGAATTCAATGAATTCAGCATTTGGAAAATGTCCTCTAATGTGAGGCATGTGGCTCCTCCTAAAACATATTAAAAATTAATTATTAATGAAGTAGAAACATTAAAAAAATGATGTAAATTAGTTACAATGAGTCACATTTTCGGTATTCGCGATCGCAACACTCGAATACGCCATCTGGGGAGAGACCGGTTTCATGCCTTTAGCCCTTCTCCCTTCCCTTTCCTCCTCTTTTCAGTTGTATAGGAATGTACTACGATATTTTTCCTTTTCTTAATATTTTTCCTTTTTATTTAATAAAAATATTTTTTAAAATTTCCACGATACTTTTCTTTAGAACTATGTTTAATGTAGTTTTCAGTTCCATATAGTTTTTCAAGTTAAAAGATTTTAATCTATATGAAAATCAAGAGAGAAACTAACGTGCTTCCTTCTTCTATGACTTTCCACACGCTAATGGGGAAAGCATGTGAAGTGTTGCCATAGGAAAAGAGTTCTGCTCTACGCCACCTGCAGCCCATTTCGATCGCCAATTTTTATGATCGGGGGAAATTTTTTCTCCTTTTTGATTAGCTCATATGGCCGTTTAAATCAAGGCATGTTTGAAAAGCTTAGTAAGATAATAATGTGAGACAAATTCTTATTTTTTTCATTTATTTCTTTTTCATACATTTTTGAAGGTGGACACTATCGGTGCTGGGCAATGACGAAAGTGCAGCAGACAAAATGGATAGGGCAAGTGAACCACTGGCCCGGGACACCAAACTTCTAAGCCAGTTCAGAGGCTTTTTTATATATAAATGCAAAAATTTAAATTTTTTGTTGTTCTGTTTTGTTTTTGGGATGATTGTTTACATGTGAGTGCAGATGCAATGGAGAATTATTTATTTATTTTGCATTTACATCAAATGCTGTGTGTATTGATTCTTTACAATGGCTAAATTTTTAGTGGCATACCTAAAGTTACAACTTGTTTCATATTTTGATGGATTTCTCTGTATGATAATAAATAAGTTCTCTTATTTAATGAAGTTGTTTTTTGTGGCCTCTCTTCTTTCGACTGAGCTCAAATAAAAGAGTGTAGAGGAATAGGAAAAATTCTAATTGCAGAAAAAAATTAATACATTTTTGTAATCAGCCTTTTTCGATGGTAGTTCGGTTTGAGACATTTGTCGGTTTTGAGATCTTAGGTAAATAACTATTTTTGAGTTCTGAATTAAAAGTTTTTGAGCATCATCCATATTTGGTTTTATTATTTTAAAAAATAACCGAAGTAAGTTTTCGAAAACTCTAACTTCTTTTCAAAAATTAAGTAGTAAATTACCTATTCACAATTACTAAATGACTAATTTAATTGCTTTACATTTCAGAGAAAAACAATTTCATAGTAGTTCTAAAACATTTCAAGCCGTTATTTCTTCTAATTTAATAAAACAAAATGTTACCTTTATCTTTTATTTAATAAAGGTAATGCTTATATATATATATATATA